TCTTCTTCTTCTTCTTCTTCTTCTTCTTCTTCTTCTTCTTCTTCTTCATCTTCTTCTTCAGAGACTTTTTTTCCTAGAAAGGGTTTCTCTGTGTAGCCCTGGCTGTTCTGGAACTCTCTCTTTAGACTAGACTGGCCTTGAACTCAGAGAGCTTTTTGTACTGGGATTAAAGGTATGCATCATCACTGCCTGGGAGGTCCTAGATTTTAACTCATAGGCAGGACTCAGCTGGGCCATTGTCTGAACACATCTGGAGCATAGAGGAACAGATGAACAAAAACAGGTGGAAGGGAAAGGAGACCCAGGACAATCTTAAGAACTCCAGCATGCAGGTGTATGTGTGTGTCGGCTAGGATGTGTAGGAGCCTGCTTGGTTATACCAATGTTTTGCTGAATTATATGACAAGTGTATGTATGATGGAGAAGAAGTTGTAACTTATAAATTATAACTCTGGAACAAATTCTACAGACTTATTTCTGTTCTATCTCTTCATGAACAGATACAGGATTTAGATGTGGCACTCAGGAATTTGACATATTGACAAATGTTCATTAAATATTTACTAGCTGGGTCATTGGCTGAAATCTTGGATGAGTTTTTTTTTTCTGATTTATGTATTAAGTTTGACTCTCTCTACAAGAATGAAGGTGGTTTAAGGAAGGGAGCTGTAATGTAGCCTCTGCCTCTCTGTTACTCTAACCACTAGTTTCTATTAGGCATAGACCAAACATTTCTCTCCAGCTATTATAAAAAAGGATGGTTGCATGTTAGAACATTTTTTTAAGCATTTTCAAGCTTCAAGGACAGTCAAAGCAAGTTGTGGTGACTAAAAATTACAGTGTGCATTTTAAAGTATGAGAAGAACATTACTGGCAAATGTACTATTTAAAAAGACTCTACAAGTCAACAGTTGGTGTCCATGGGTTTGCTATCTTAAGAACAAGTTGGCATCAGAACTGGGTTTCAGAAAATGAGGGCTGTGGTAAGTATGAATGGGTGGTATGTGTCTTTTGTCTGCAGTATACTCAATGGCACCTCTCTGATGGGGCGAAGTATTTACCTTCAGCCTGATTCTAGTGACTCTAGTGGCCCTCACAAGTCACCAGCAACCCTCTGAAAGAGAGCAACCCCTTCTCCCAGAGGTCCCGAGCAAGGCTAAAGGGCTCTCTCCTCTTCCAGTCTATGCAGCACGTTTACCTCTGAGACTTTATGGCAGGCTGACCTCCATCCTCTGGGTTAGTGAGTCTGCGTTTCTGTACTACATAAAAAGGGCAAATGGATTCATTATTATTATCTTATTATACAATGTGAAATATATTCTAGCGATTATGCTGTCATCAGCCATAGTCTTTGACCACAGATCAGAGGTTGGCGTGACATAAATCTACCTAGTGAAAGTCTTTGGGGCATCTGTGGGAAGATAAGAAGTTCCAACTCCATCTGTAGCAGCAGGTCTGTAGGTCAAAGGTCATCCCCCCCCCCAACATTGCAGGTGAATTTGGAGTCGCTGGCAGGACCTGGATAAAGAGCACATCTGGGAGGTGATGCAAATTCCTTTTAGCCTTGGGATCGAATAGCTCTCATTTTTGCCAGTATCTGAGGCAAGGGAGGAATGGCTCAGAGTGGAGCAAAGCCTCCAACTTCTTGGGTTAGATTCTTTTCTGGAAGTCTGGAAGTCTGGTTTCCCCGTTCAGCTTTCCTTGCTTTTTCTAGGCCTCATCCAGGCCCCCTGCCTAGAGGGAGAGTCACAAGATCATTTGTCACCTGCCTGTGTCTGAAGCAGCTACTCAAGTGGGGCAGAAGAGATTCTTTGGTCCCCTCTGTAGGAGCTGAGCCAGTCAGTACCCTGGGTGCCTGAGCCTGCCCTTGGCACTTAGTAGGACAGCCACCTTGGCTGAGTAAATGGAGGCGTGCGTGACTACTCCAGGAATTTTGGCTTTCCATTGCAGAAGTGAGTTGGGTGAGGAGCCTGTTTTGTGTCTGGAACAGATTAGACCACCCCAGCAGGCCCAAGCTGAGGCAGTCTGCCCCTAATCTTACTGTGCCCCAGCCCCCAGGACACACTGGCTGGCTAAGTACTTTTAAGAATGGAACAGCAGTGGCTTCCAAGCGCCTGCCTGCCATTTGCCAAGTGACAGCTTCTGATAAAGCCCCTCCCCTTCTTATCTCGCCCCCCCCCCGCACCACCCCATCATACTGTCGCGATCCCCCCCCTCCGTGAACCAAGTCGCCCCCCTCCCCCAGGAAGCCCACAGCAAAAAAAAAAAAAAAAAAAAAAAAGCTCTTGAGACCAGGGATAACTAACCTTCTGAGGACATATGCTGGGGCCAAGGTAATGAGAATTATTCAAATGCAATCATAAAAACGAGGCCATCCAGGCTGGAATGGGCTGGGGGTGTGATGGAGGGAACGTTTCTTGCCAGTTTGAAGATTCCTATTTTTTAGGGGTTCTTTTAAGGTCCACAGAAAATGTCACCTCATCTCAGTTTCTTCAGCACCTGGTATCTTGGAACTCCACACCAGTCGATCGCTAAGGAGGACATGGAGTAGGGGGGCGCCTGACTTTCTGGGGTCCCTTGCACTACCTCTGTCAGGCAACCTCAGGCCTGGAGGCTTCTTCACCAGCGCAGGCGGCCTCCCCGCCAGCAGCAAGCAGGCCCGAGCCTGATGTCGGAGGCGAATCTCCAGTAGAGGGAGACACTCTAGCAGCTCCTCGCCTGGGAAGCGGCCGGGACCTGGAGGGGGTGGGGGCAACGGGGGGGGGAGAAAGGGGGAGTGGGGAGAGGGGAGGTGTGCGCGCGCGGGGAGGGGGGGGAGGGAGTCCGGGGGGCGGGTCCCTGTGCCGCTGACGTCCCAAGCAGTGCTGGGAAGTATAGGCTGTGTTGTCACGCCGGTGTCAGTCTGATGAAGATTGGCATCAGGTAAGCTGTCATTCATTTCCATGTCAGAGACGCTTTTTGCAGGCGGCGGCGGCGGCGGCGGCGCAGCGGCGGCGGCTGCTGCTGCGGGCGGCTGCCTCAGAGCGCGTGTGTTTTATTCCAGTCCCCAAGCCAGAGTATTATTCATTGCGACAGGGCAAGGAGGAGAGAGGGAGAGAGGGAGGCAGCAGGGAGGAGAGAGAGAGAGAGAGAGAGAGAGAGAGAGAGAGAGAGAGAGAGAGGCAGGAGGCAGCAGGGAGGAGGGAGGCAGGCAGCAGAGAGGGACGGCGGGAGCGTGCAGAGAGAGGAGCTGGGGAAGCGCCGGGAGAGCGCGGAGCGAAGCCGCGCGAGGGGAGGCGAGGCCGGGCAAGGAGGCGGCGAGGAGCGCGCGGCCCACCAGCTCCGGGACCCGGCCGGTGCGCGGCTCGGCGGCCGCCGCCTCGCCCCGCTCCTCTCTGGCCCGGGGCCGGCAGTGCATTGTCTGCGGCTGCGAGCAGCGGACTCCGGGAGCAGCGGCCCGAGAGCCGGGAGCGGGCGGGCTGGGAGCCGCGCGCCCGGAGCTTCCCGGGACCGCTCGAGCCTTAGGGACGAGCGCGTCGAGTCCCCGCGCCGGCGGCTCCTAGCTGGGCGCCCGGTGGAGGCGAGGCTGGGGAACTGCGGGCCAGCTTCGGGTTCTCCTGTCCCGGGCTCTAAGACTCCCGCGGCTGGCGCTTCCTCGGTACCCCCAGCCCCGAGCTGCCTTCCAGTGGCTGGGAGCGGGAGCAGCCCTTAGTCTGGGGCCGGGTGGTTGGAGTCAGGCAGCGGCGGCCGCGTCCTGCCGGACCCAGGGAGGCAGGGAAGAGTGGAGGTTTGCAGGAGAGTCAGTGGGGACGTCTGTGGCGGGTCAGAGAAACCCGAACCCGAGGGGCGACGCTCAGGGACTCTAACCAGGAGCAGGAGGAGAATTTGTAGGGTCACCGGCTCTCTGCGTATTGTTGGGTCTTTGGGGCGGGGAGAGGAGGATTAGGGGCCCTTGGCGAAGAGCTAGGAGATGAATTCGCAGAAGGGTGGTGGGCGCTGAAAGATCCCCGGAGCAGAAAGCCGAAGGGGATGGCACAGGATCCTGAATGCGCCGCGCGAAGTTTCTGTTTCTTTCTGGGTAGGCGACGGGGAATCTCCTGGCTTCCAAAGCCGAGGAAAAGACGAGCACAGTGGGCCGCGCTTTCGGGAGAGTCCTTCACAGGGCAGCCGGGGTTCCCGCGCGGTTAGGAGACTTGGGTTGGGGATGGGAGGGGGGTGCGGATCAGCCCCGAAAGGAGGGCTGTGCTTCGGAGCCGGCGAGAGTTTGGGTGTAAGATCCAGGCTGTTTTCAGAATGGGACGCAAGGGCCGCTATTTAGTTTACACACCCGCAAGAGAGAGGGCTGGAGGTAGGCGCCGGGGTCCCGGTTATATCGAGGCTTGACTCCGGAGTGGGTGCCGGGTTTTTTGTTTTTGTTTTTTTGTTTTGTTTTGTTTTTTTGTTTTTTTCAGTACTGAGACATGGGATCAGGACCCTTTATTTGGGGTTAAATCTGGGAAGAATTGCGGGTCCGGGTCCTGACAGCGTGCGGGAGGAAAAGCTTTATATAGGTAAGAAAAGTAGTTGATCCCAGCCATGGTGAGCGATGGCTGAGCGAGCCCCGAATGTCTGCTGCCTCTCCCTGTAAAGCGAATCTTGAGAATGAGAGGATCTGGGGTGCCCAGGGCTGGGTCCTAGGAGAAAGAATCTCGAAAGCGGGCAAAAACAGGGAGATTCCGTGCGAAGTGAGCGGGTAGCATCAGCCGGCTCCGGCTCCGAGTGGGTCAGAGGAGCTGACCCTGCAGACTCAGCAGGCTCCAGGAGCTGCTTGGGGTCCGCGGCCGCAGCGTGGCGGGATGGTTGCTAGCGGCCCCTCGGGACAGCGGTCGGCGACGCGGGCAAAGGGTCCGCACTGCCTACCGCTGAGGGGAAGATATCCCCGAACTCAGGAGCCCTGACCCGACCTGCCGCGTGTTTATCCGCAAGCAAACGATGCTTGCTCCATCTCCGCCAATGTCGCAGGGCGCACAGGCCCATCCGGGCGAGGTACCTAGAGGGGTGAGGAAGTTCGGGGTTCCTTGCCCTCGCATATGTTCTCTTGAGACGTCTCCAGGCTGTTGGCTTTCTGGGATTCAAAAGCTCTTCAACTGGTAAAAATCCAAGTTAACAAGCTTAAGCAGATTCAAACACCCGCCCCCCCAAAACACACACCCAAATCTGAGAAAAGATGGTGTTCCAAAGCAACACGGTGTTATCCCAAGTCCCAGCCCCTTTCCCCTCTCACTCTGCCTTCTGACCTTCCCTTGGCCCCTGGACCTTGGTACATATGTGTGTGTGTGTGTGTGTGTGTGTGTGTGTGTGTGTGTGTGTACACCTCTTATTTAGGGGCTCCTATCTCAGACCCAAACTGCATCCTCAGGGCTCGGGCCTAGCTCAGCAGTGGGTGGAGTGTGGAGAGGTCCTGAGGAGGGAAGAGCAGAGGTGGGGTTGGGGGGTTTTACACTCCGGTCATTTAGATAAAGTGCTCTGAGGGATGGAGGTAGGTGTGTGTGAGGGGAGTGTTCATTTTCTCCGTGCACGCTTGCACCCTGGACCGAGAAAAGCCAGCCAGCTCTTTGGGGGCACTGAAGCCGCAGGACCCATGAATGGCCACCGCGGCCCGGGGCGCGGCGACCGCGACCACGGCTGAGCTGTTGTTTTCCAGACTTGGAATTCCTGCGCGGCTCTTCTCCAGCCGAGAGCTGAGCGGGGGGAGGGAGCCGTGACCCCACCAAGACGCCCCGGTCACCGCCTCCCTTTTGTGAGATCGAAAGGCATGAAAGCCTAGAGAAAGAGGATCTGCAGGGAACGAGGGCCAGAGGGTTACTAGAGGGAGATGGGCCTAGCAACGACCACAGTAAAATGCCTGGTGCAAATCGCAGCGAAGTGTACCCAACTCGAGACTGGCTGTTTTATGATCCTTTCTAGGAGTTTACTGCTCCGTGCTTTTAAGTCTATAGATTGCTTTAAGTTAATGAAAGTGCGGCTTTCAAAAGGGCCTTTTTATTGTGCGGCAGCGACAAATCCAGTGCCTCCCCTTTACTCCTCCGAAATGGTCCCATTTAGAAAGAGGGAGCTTGCTGGGGTTCCCACATGAACAGAGCTGGGGGCGGGGAGAGGACACCATGTGATAATGAGGATTAATAAAAGGCAGTGTCCACATAATTCAGAAAGATGAGTTAACTTCTCGCCTGTCCACAGTTTCATCTGGACATCCTTCAGCTGCCTCCGGGCTTTCACAGGGGCTGCTAGCCTTGAAGCTTGCTCAGTGCCTCTCCGGTAGCCCCCTCCCACACTGCTTTTTTTTTTTTTTTTTTTATCAAGCCTGACCTTAAGCAATTCAAACCAAACTGGGCTTCAGGATTTCAACGCGGTTACTAATTCAGACTAAAATATTTACTTGGGCCCTGGGGGAGGGGCCTTGTCTTGCTATCAGTAAGATGGATCGGTTTAAAGGGCTGGGAACCCGAGGAAGAACAAGGCAGGCTGTTTTCAGTGATTTTTTTTTTTTTTTTTTTTTTTTTTTTTTGCCTCCTTTCAATCTATTTGGCACAAAAGGTGAGATGACAAGGATTTTGACTAACGCAGAAACTGCAGTGGAGCCTGCCTGTGGCTTTGACCGCATGCCATAACCATTTAAACTGTGGTTACTTGTTCAAAGCTCAAAGCTTCTCCAAGCTGGGTTTCATTAACTCTACACCAGTTGCCTGGAAGTTCAGTAGCAATAAATTGCATAAACACATTTGAAGTAAGTTAGTGATGAAATAAGGAGAATTGCTGTCCTGTGAGCGGAGAATCCTGGATTCATGGAGTTCTAACTTAACTGGAAACATACTTCCCCCTTCTTGGCCTTAAAGTTTATAGGTGCACCAGAGTATGTGTTAAATTTCTTTCTGCCATGTCCATCTTCAACCCTGGGCTGTTACTTATTAGAGACGGAGGCATGCCTAGAAAGCAGAGGCTGGTTTTAAAAGGGGGTCTCTATTAGCTCCATTTAGGAACTGAACCAGAGCCGAGCATCAACCTGACTTCCTTACTCTCACCGATCGCACTGGGCAATATAAACAGCCACAGAGTGGGGCAAATGAGATTTTTAAATGTGAGAAGCTTAATAATACTGTGTTGTTAGCAATTGAAATTGTTTTTTTTTTTTTATTAAAGAAACAACCAATAAAATTTATAGGCTTCCAACATGTCGCAAAATCTCCTTGGTGTTTATTTACACCCCCACCTTACTTTTTTAGAAATGCAACCTCCAATTTTGGGCTTTTGTTCCTGATTTACTCAACATGGGCACATTTTTAGAATTAGTTGGAGGCAAGTAAGTAGTGCTGTTATGAGTTTTTTCCTTTATCCTCTGCCATGGAGCACAGGGACTGCCACACTGTAAGATGTGTATGTGTGACTGTGTGTGTGTGTGTGTGTGTGTGTCTGTGTGTGGTGCAATTGTTGGAGGTGACAGCATGTGAGGCAAAGTGTCTGGATCAAATAAAATGTAGATCCCAGGATGGAGAAGGTGAGCAGGGTGCCATGGAGAAAAAGCAGAAGAAGTGATATGGAAAATAAAACCATCATGAGCCTCCCTGAGCTACGAATCTAACCAATACACCACGCTTTGTATAAGACACTTCATAGAGAGACCCATGACTTATTGAAAATTGAATTCTATTGAGAAGCAGAATTTAGAAGAAAGAGCTGCTCTCACTGGGTCCTATCCAGTCTGCATGGCCAGGATGGCTGTGATGGAGCTCTGATAATTTAATTAAATCTAATACCTGATGGGAAGGGGGAAGGAGGGAAGGAAGTGGTGGGTGATAATCAAGGCTGGAGGGTCAGCATGCTGAGCTAGTACTTGGGCTGGAATTTGATGGCCTGGCTCTCTGGCTCCAGTGGGTCCCCCAGCTGCCAGGCTTCGGTTTCTTCAT